TGGACGACGCCTTCTCGCGGAACAGCGACCTCCTCGACGCGCGCCCCTCGTTCCGCAAGGAGTTCATGGACCTGAAGGACAACGCGTCGACCCGGAAGCTGTGTTTGGAGCTGCTCCGGAGCTGGGCGTACGAGTCGTCCGTCGCGTGGGCCGCGGGCTCCGGAAACGACGCGGCCTTGGCCTTCTACGTCGCCCGGGAGAAGCGGATGCGCCGCTTCCGCCGCGCGCTGGTCGACGAGGTCGGCGCGCTCTGGCTCGACCCGACGGTGGCCGTCGTCCTCGAGGGGTTGCTCTACGAGGCCTACCGCGCGGAGCTGAAGCCGAGGAAGGCGCCGCCCCTCGAGATGCCGACGACCTCGACGACCTTCTCGACGGCCCAGAAGGAATCATTGTACTACATCGCGGGGTTCCTGGTGTCGAAGGTCATGAAGACGTTCGTCGACCGCAGCGGCGAGTCGATATCCGCGTGGGCCGAGGACTTCACGAACCGCATGAACCTGGGCGAGGCGGAGGCGAGCCAGCAGAAGATGCCGCTCGGCAAGGTCAAGCACAAGGACATGGGCTCGTTGTGCTACGCGGCGCGCCCCATCTACGACTACGTGTGCAAGCTCGAAACGATCTACCTCCACAACATGTCGACGGACCACTTCGACGCCTACGGCTCCGGCCTCCTGCGCCGCATCGGCGTCGTCATCGCCCAGGACCCGAAGATCTACGAGGCCTTCGCGAGCGAGGTCCTCCCGCTCCTTAGGCCCGACAACCAGGACGCGTTTCCCATGGTCGTCTATAAGACCATGCTCGACGCCTATGACAAGGTCCGCCGCAAGGACACGGCGCTCAGCCTGAACCGAGCCCACGAAGAGCATCGCCGCCTCGACGCTACCGCCGGGAAGGCGCCGCTCCGGACGGCTCTCGCAGTCACGTCGGCGAATGCGGCATCGAGTCGCAGATCTAAGGGAGCTTAAGATCTGCAAACCACCGCCAAATTACGCGCTAACCTCGGCGTCGTCCGCGTAACGATCGTAGGTCGCCGGGTCTTCGTCGCACTGGGTCTTCTCGAAGGCGTCCATGATGGCCTCGAGGGCCGCGTCGTCGTCGTCCTCGACGGCCTCGGCGGCGGGGGCGTGCGGCGCGTCGCTGGGGGCCGCGGGTTCGGCCCGGGGGCGCCGGGGGCGCTTCTTCCGCGCCGCGTCGTCGCGCTTTAGGAGCACCGCGCGGAGGTCGACGGGCGCGCCGCCCGAGTTGGATTTCTTGTCGCGGTAGAGGCGGATCACGGTCGCGGTGCGCGCGGCGCGGCGACAATCCTGGATCGATGGGTTCTTCTTGTCGCCCGAGGCGCCCCTGACGTTCCTGAAGTGGTGCTCACACACGTCCTGCGAGCAGCGGCCGGGGAGGAAGACCTTGCCGGGGTACTTCGCCAGGTAGTACTTCGCGGCCCAGATGAAGCCCCGGATGGTCTGGACGCCCCGGAACGTCTGCGCGGGGATGAAGGCGTCCGCGCCGGCGCCGCGGTCATGGTTCTCCGTGTTCCAGTCCTCGTAGAACCGCACGTAGCGCTCGAGGAAGGCCAACTTTTTGTCGTCGGGCCCCTGGATCACGCCGCTCTTCCCGTTCATCACGTCGAAGAACTCGTTGTTAAGGTTGCAGTAGTCGATGAGCCCGTCGTTCTTGCACTGGTGCGTGTCCTCCTTGAGGTACCGCGCCATCGTCCCCGACAGCACGCGTGCCGCCGGCGCGACGCGCATCCGAGAATGAGCCGTCGGAAAGAAATGGTCCTTGTCGAGCTTGTCCCCCGTGACGCCCAGCGCGGGGCCGCCCTCGTTGCGCCTTTTCCAGACGTCGTAGAGCACTTTCAGACCCAAAGTATCCTCCGTGTTGTAGTTGGAGTTGAACTTTTTGAGGTATCGCGTAGCGCGTATGCCGTCGGCGTCCGTGCCGGACTTGCTCAGCGCGTTGTAGAGCGTCTTGATGAGGTGCGGCGGGTCCGTGACGATGAAGACGGGCTCGTCCGTGACCGGGTGGAGGATCGCGACGGGCTGGTCGTGGCCCACGTCCACGTCGTCGTAGAAGGCCTGCCAGTTCTCGCCGTCCTGCATCTCCTTGACGTCGGCGACGGTGACCGTCGCGCAGGCGGCGATGTAGGCCATGTGCTCCGAGGCCTTGTCGCAGAAATCGGCGACGACCGTGAAGCCGTACGCGTGCAGCGCCGTCAGTGCCTGCGTCACCATGGGCGCGATGTCCGCCGCCTTGAGGTCCGTCGACGCCACGCGGTAGAAGGAGAACTGGAAATCGCCGCAGGTGACGGAGGTGGCGAAGAACTCCGTCCAGTACTGCGCCGCCTTGGGCATCGTCGCCTTCCGGGCGTCCGCCGCGGCCGTCGCGCCCGCGTCCGTGGCCTCGTCGGCCTCGAGGGCCTCGAGCTGGAGGGCGATGTGGTCGTAGGTGTCGAGCTCCTCGCTCACGTAGCCGACGATCTCCCCCGTGAAGACGTTGGAGACGATGCCCTCCTGGACCTTGAGCCCGTCGTGCGACATCACGGTCAGCCGGTCCCCCTCGGAGAGCCCGTTGCGGTCGCAGTGCGCCTTCGTCGCCTTGAGGACGTCGACCTGGATGCCCTCCTTGTCGCTGAAGGCGTTCTTGAACTCCCGTAGGTAGCGCGCGCAGGGGATGGCCATGACCTACGGAGACGATGCTCATCGTCGAGTCGGGCTGCCTCAGGGAGGGCGAGAACTCGCGGGCGCCGGACCAGACGTCGCGGGTCTCGTTGTAGGACGTCTCCCCGTCCTTGATGAGGCGCCGCAAGGCCCACTTGATGGTCACGGGGTGGTAGCGGAAGGCCCGCGACGATTTGCCCTCGGCCTTCTTCTTCCAGTTCTGCATCTGGTCGTCCCAGATGATCCGCTTCACGGACCCCGTCGGAAAGCACGTCTCCCAGCCGTCGCTCTTCTGCAGGGCCTCCAAGATGCTCCCGAAGCGCTCGCCGTACTCCGCGTTCTGGAGACGCGCCTTGCTCTTCGCGAGCCGCTGGTTCCGCCAGTTGGCGACCTTGATCCGCGACTGCTTCGCCTTCAGCACGGACGTGATGACTGCGGGCCCCTGGGACGCGATGAGGTCGTGGCGCCCCTTCGGCGCCTGGCTCGGCGCCGCGGCCGCCTGCGTCGCCGAGCGGCGGAACGAGTCGACGGAGGCCAGGCACGTCGGGCAGATGATGATCGACTGCCCCCGGCGGTTCCACGCCTGGTTCACGTCTACGAGCTCGCAGCCGGGGCAGAGGAAGCGCGCTCCCTCGCCCGCGGCCTCGACGGCGCCGCGGAGCCGGACCAAGTAGGCGCCGTCCTTGACGCCGCCGCGCGCCGGTCGCCGCCCGATAACAATTGAGCCCGACGCCGCCGCGACAGTGTCATCTGTAGCTCGCCGCGCTGCTTTCGTTATTGCCTTGGAGAACTCGCCCCTCGCCTTCTCGGGAACGTCGAGCTCGCCGACGCCCACGCAGAGCCGCCGGCTCAGCTTCAGGAGCAAGCCGACGAGCTGGAGCTTGTCCATGGGCGTCGGCGTCGGCGCGTCGGCCTGCTTCTCCTCGGCGCAGTTGTAGTCGAAGCCCAAGACCGTCGCCGTCACGGAGACCTCGAGCGTGGTCGCGGGCGCTGCGCGTACTACGACGACGACGGACTCGTCGTCGTCGCCGACGCGGTTGAAGATCGCGATGCCCTTGGCCGTGAGGCGCTTCACGAACTCGCCCGTGACCATGTCCGAGACCCAGGGCGGCAGCGACGAAGACGTCGGCGCGGGCTCGATGTCCATCGACTGCGGCCCCGACGACGAGTCGCCCGCGCCCGCCTCGGACGGCGGCGGCGCCATGTCCGTCGACGGCGGCGTCGACTCCGGCACCTTGTGCCTCGCCATGCGCTTCGCGGACGAGCCGAGCTTCTGTCGGCGCTGCGGCTCGAGCCAGGCGTTGGCGGCCTTGATGACGGCCGCGGACGGCTTCCTGCCGGGCCCGGGCGGGGCGCTCGGCGGCCAGTTCGAATTGTCGCGGGGCTGGCCGAGCGACAAGACCTGGAGGTAGCGCTTCTCCCTGACCGTCTCGACGTAGATGCCGAAGATGTTCTCCTGGAGGCCCACGCTCATCTTGAGCACCGCGTGCTTCAAAATCGTCTTCGCGATGTCGTCCGCGGAGCAGTTGATGCCCTTGCCCGTGAGGCGCGTGGCCCAGTCCGCGAGCGTCATGAAGTCGCGGATCTTCAGCGCGGCCATGGCCTTGTGCAGCGCGTGCGCGTAGTCAGTGCCCGAGGGACCTGCGCGGGCCAACGCGTGATCGTCGGGGATCGTTGACATTTTCGCCCCGGAGGCTCGGGCAGGTCGTGGGCGAGCTCGGACGCGCGAAAAGTCAACGATCCCCGACACTTTGCCGCTGGCGACCAGCCCGGCGAACGATATTGAAAATCTCGCGACGAGGCGCGCGGAGCCGGAAACGCACGAAGGTTGCCTCTGATGCGCAGACGCCGTCGACGTACCCATGGGCGCCGCGCGACACGAACGCGGCGGCCCCACGCGCGCCGGGGGCCGCCGCTCCCGAGGGCCTCTTTTCAAGCGGGCATCACTGGTCCCGCGGATAGCCGTCGCCTCGCCTCGGGGCAGCATGGTCGCCTCCCCAGATACTTGAAGATCCCCTTGGGGATCTTCAAGTATTACTTGAAGATCCCCTTGATAGAGAGTGCTGCAGGCTGATACTATAAGCTGCCCTGATACTTTCTTTGCTTGTCTGGAACGCACATCACAACCGTGGTCGGCTTTATCGGTGTCTCCTATCCGAACGCAGCCGTCGCCGCCAATCCGCCGCGGCCGATCCGAACGCAGCCGCCGCAGCCTCTCTCACCTCGTCGAGCATGGCCAAGGTCGATCCCGGCGGCCCGATCACGGAGCGCGCCGACGTCGTCGAGCTGCTCGACAAGGTGCCGCTCACGAAGCTGGAGCAGGACGCGCCGAAGCAGGTCTGCTGCCTCACGGGCGCGACGTCCCTCGTCGGCGCCCACGTCGTGCGGCGGCTGCTCCGCGCGGGCCACACGGTCCACGCGCCGATCCGCGGCGGCGACGACGCGCCGCGCCTCGGCTACCTCAAGGCCATGCCCGGCGCGGCGGAGCGCCTCAAGTTCTTCGGCGGCTGCGACCTCATGGTTCCGGGCTCCTACGACGCGTCCATGGCCGGCTGCGCGACGGTCATCCACGTCGCGAGCCCCTTCTTCATGATCGGCGGCAAGAAGAAGATCCGAGAGAAGCTGATCGACCCCGCGGTCCGGGGCGTCGAGCACCTGCTCGCGAGCTGCTCGAAGACGCCGAGCGTGACGCGCGTCGTCCTCACGGGCACGGTCCTGGCCGCGTCCTGCGACTCGCGCGCCTACTTCAAGGACAAGAACTTCACGGTCGGGCCCGACGACTGGGAGGAGACGTGCTCCGAGAAGGAGCTGCCGTACGTCTATAGCAAGGTCCTCCAGGAGAAGCGCGCCGAGGAGATCGCCGCCGCCCAGAGCCAGTGGACGCTCGTGTCCCTGCTCATCGCGGGGACCTTCGGCCCGCCGTGCGCGGCCGACGGCGCCGGCGTGCCCGTCATGTTCATGAAGCACACCCTCAAGGGCCTCTTCTTCCCGGCCTGCCCGCCCATGGGCTTCCCCATGCACGACATCCGCGACACGGCGGTGTACCACACGCACGCGATGCTCGCGCCCAACGCGAAGGGGCGCTACATCCCGCCCATGCGCTACATCTGGTTCATGGAGTGGGCCAACGCGCTCAAGAAGGACAAGAAGACGAACCAGTTCATGCTCCCGTTTTTCCATCTACCGTTCTTCATGAAGCCCGTCTTCGCCATGATGGCGCCGATCCTCGGCGTCGACGGCGGCTTCGCGAAGCGCCTCTGGCGCACGAACGTGCAGTGGGACTTCTCCAAGAACGGGGACCTCGAGCTCGACAGCGAGCGGTTCACGCCCATCGTGACCAAGGACAGCTGCGTGACCATGTGCGTCGACATGGTCAAGGCGTTCAAGATCTACAAGATCGGCGCGTTCTCGACGTCGATGACGCGCTACAAGTAAGCCCCCCCCGTTCGTTTAGGACCAGGCGAGGGACGCGGGCGCGGAGCTCGACGGCCGGCGGGGCGCGCCGGAGCTCGACGCGGGCCGGTGCCGCGCGGCGCGGCGCCGCGCGGAGAAGCCGCGCGGGTGGTTCGCGGCCGTCGCGGGCCGCGCGGCGACCGCGGGCTTGGCGACGACGGCGACGCGCTCCTTGAGCTTCCGGTGGATGCGGATGGCCGCGGAGAGCCGCGCGAGCTTGTCGTCCGCGCGCGCGCGGAGCGCCGCGCGCGCGGCCGGGTCCGGGTCCGGCCCCCGGTCCGGCGCGCGCGGCCGCCGCGCGCGCTTCCGCTCGTGTTCGGCGTCGCGGGCCGCGCGGAACTTGGCGGCCGCGGCGGCCATGGCCGCGAGCTCCGGGTGCCGGCGGTCGTCGCCCGCCCGCGGGTCCGCGTCGGGCGGGATCGCGGAGATCTCGAGGCGCGGCGTCCGCGGCCGGTGGCCCTGGAGCCGCAGCATCGTCACCTCCTGGTTGAGGGTCCGGTGCCGCTCGTGCTGGCTCTCGAGGCCGCAGTACGTCCGCGGCACGCTCAGGAGGTCGTAGATGCGGTTGATCTCGCGGAACTTGCCCCGGTCGACGCGCCGCGTCGCCGCGTCGACGTAGAGCTGCCAGCGCTCGAAGATGCAGCGCTTGAGGATCGCGCGCGCGACCGACGGCGGCTCGCCGAAATCCGCGAGCGCGCCGACGACGGACGCCTTGCGCCGCGTCACGGCCTCCAGGCGGTCCCGCGCCTCCTCGACGCGCCGCCCGAAGACCTCCGTGAACCAGGACCAGACGCAGCTCCGCAGGATGTAGTGGTCCTCGCTCAGGTCGCACTCCTCGGGCGACTTCATGAGGTGCGTCTCGACCCGGAGGTCGTGGGCCCGCTTCGCGGCCTCGTGGTCCTCGACGGCGGACCGGAGCGTGTGCACCATGCGCTTCACGCCCTCGAGCCGCGCGAGCTCCTCGCGCTTCGCCGCGTCGCGCCGCATCTTCGACGCGACCTTGAGCCGCGAGATCGTCAGCGTCGCTCGCTCGAGCAGGTGGCGGTTGTCGTTCATCTTCACGGACGCGCGCTGCCGGGCCTGGCCCGCGCCGACGGCGTGCTGGAGCTGCGTGCTCCGCGACGCGTTGTGGAGGCCCGGCATGAACTTGCGCAGCAGCGCCTCGTTCTTCTCCTCGGACTGCTCCGCGACGCGCTGCTTCCGCTTCCGCTCCGCGACCGTGGACTGGCGCCGGCCCGCGTGGTCCGCGAAGGCCTGGAGCGCGAGGGACGCCCGCGCGTGCATCGCCGCGTGGCCGCCGCCCTTGGCCTCGCCCAGGGGGATGAAGCTCGGGACCTGGCCGGCCATGCGGTTCGCCGACACGACGCTCGCCGCCGCGTCCTTGAGGTGGTGCTGCGCCTTCATGTGCTGGCTTTTACTCGTAGGGCGGCCGGCGTCGTGCTGCGCCTTCATGGGTTGGCTCTTAGGGCGGCCGGCGCCGTCCGCGCATGCTTCCCCGCATTGTCTATGCTCTCCGAGGACGAGATGTAACCGCCTGCACCATCGATCGTAATTACAATGTTTCCCTTCCGTTGGGGGGGACGACTCGATCATGACGTTCGTCCGGAGGACGCCTATGCTCCAATGGACCCCCCCTCCCATTGCGGGCTCGTACCCTAGGGCGATATGGCGTGGCCGGAGATGCCGAGGTCGATGTGTGGTCGCTTCTCGCCGTCGCCGCGCGGCGTCGCGCCGCCGAGCTCCGCGTCCTCGTCGAAGGTGCCCGGCGCGTTGGGGTTGAGCTGGTCGAAGGCCGTGCCGTCGGCGGCGATGACCTCCTCGACGACGGAGATGTTCCGCTTCTTGCCCGCGGTCGCCGCGGCCGCGGGCTTGTGCGGCTTGCCGGGCGAGCCGCCCGCGATGGGCTTGCCCACGAGGCTCAGGCCGCCCGTGCCGTCGGCGAACTCCATGCCCGGCAGGTCGTCGCCCTCGTCGGCGTCGACGGAGAACGTGCCCGGGCAGTCCGGCCCGAAGGACTCCTCGAGGCCGCTGCCGTCCTTGGCGAAGCACTCCTCGTCGTCGCCGCCGTCGTAGACCGGCAGGTCGCCGAGGTCGTCGTCGTCCTTGGCCTCGCCGTCGTCGCCCACGCGGAGCCGGTCGAGCAGCGCGATGATGTCCGCGCGCGCCGCGCGGTCCTCGTTGGCGACCTCGCGCCACTTGTCGTCGTCCCAGGCGATGCCGGGCGTCTGCGCCACGAGCTTCTCCGCCGTCGGCTTGTCGATGATCTCGGGCCAGCGGCCCTCGGCGTCGAGCAGCGCGCGCGCCGACGTGGCCCCGGCGCCCATCGTCCGTCGACGCCGCGGGCGTTCGAAGGGCAGCCCAACCGGCGCTCGACTGTGCTGCGTCCCCTTCAATAACTAGCCTGTTGCAGGGGTTGAACGGCCGCAAGATTTGGCAGCACTTGCTTTGAACAGAAGCGCGCCCAGCTCCAGAACAAGCTCAAGCTCTCGTGAAGCTCCCCTTCGTCTGTTTCGACGCGCGGCGACCGAAGATGTCGGCCCTGGAGACCGCCGCGCCCGCCTCCGACGACGTCGTCTACCGCGAGTCGCTGAGCCGCGACTCCATGCGGCGCACGAGCAGCAGCCTCAGCGGCTCCGCGGGCTGCCGGTCCCGGGCGGGTTCGGCGCAGTCCGAGGCGTCCCGCGGCGAGTCCATCGGGGGCGAGGTCGACGCGGACCTCGACGCCTGGGCGATCTGGAAGGAGCGGCCGCCGCGCCACTTCCTCGCCGAGGGCGTTTCGGCGGCCGACGGCGGCGGCCGCGGCCGCGGCACGTTCAAGGAGTTCCTGCGCCAGGCCGTCTTCGGCGACCGGGACGCGCGCTTCCGCGACGTCTTCGCGCGGCGCGACGCGGCGGCCGACGCGTCGCCGGAGCCGCCGACCGCGCGGACCGTCGACGACGCGGACCCGGCGCGGACGATCTTCGCCGTGCGCCACCAGCGCTTCTTCCGTGGGGACCCGGACCGTCCCGGGTCGCCGCGGACGCCGGAGCTCGCGCGCGAGGCCCTCCGGCGCGAGGGCCTCGACCGCGAGTCCCTCGCGCGCGCGTCGCGCGGGAGCGTCGTCGTGAGAACGCTGACGTCTCTGCCGTCGGACCCCATGCTCGCGCTCAAGGCCCTCGGCGGCTTGGTCGGTGGCTGCACGCGGGAGCAGGAGACCCGCCCCGGCCCGCCGGCGGGCGACGAGGACCGGCCCCTCTTCGTCGAGGACGGCTCGGCCTGACGACCCCCCGTCCCGCGCGTCGCGCCCCGACGCAATTCGAAGACCCCCGCCCCTTTTTTTTTGTGTACTACGACCGGCCCCCAAAAAAATGCGCTCCTGAGCTCCGGGAGCGCGGGCCCGCGGCGTCGACGACGGCCCGCGCGGCCGCGGGCCAGGGCGCGCCCGGGTCGACGACGGCGACGTCGTCGACGCGGCAGCCGCAGTCCGCGGGCGCCGCGCCGGCGTAGGCCGCGGAGCAGTTCGCGGCGCCAGCGGCGCAGTCGTTGCGCACGGCGCCCTCGTTCCGGCACCAGACGCCGGACACGGCGATGTCGAGCGCCGGCGCGCCGCAGCAGCCCTGGAGGAAGAGGCAGGGCGCGGGGCTCGCGCTCGCGACGTTGTCCGTCGTGTTGAAGTAGCGCGAGCCGTTGTCGTGGTAGAAGCTCCCGACGACGGGCGCGCGGTCCGAGTCGCAGTAGTTGCCGCGCACCGTCGACCCCGGCTGCGGGCCGAGCGTGTAGACGCAGCCGCCGTCGTTGAGCGCGGACACGACGCCGGCGATGCGGTTGCCCACGACGTGGTTGTCGGCCATCCACGTCTGGGTGCCGGCGACGTGCGTGCCCCAGCCCCAGCCGAGGGAGACGGCCGTGTAGCCCGTGTTCGAGATCGCGTTGTGCTCGATCGTCGCCGCGCGGACGTAGGCCGCGAAGATCGCCGCGGCGCCGCGGAACTCGAGGGCGACGTCTCGGACGACGTTGTCCGCGACCGTAAAGCCGGCGTCGCGGTCGGCCGCGGCCGCGGAGACGGCGCGCGCGTCGTCGACGTTGCCCAGTTTGATCGCGCCGCCGGCGAGGGACGCGAAGCGGCAGCGGGCCACGGAGACGTCCTTCGACGCGTTGCCGACGCTCAGCGCGTAGGGCGTGCCGAGGTTCGAAAAGGTGCAGTTGTCGAAGGCCACGCCCGCGCTCGCCGCGACGCCCACGGCGCCCGGCGGCTCGCCCAGGGGCGTGACGGCGCTCTGCGTCGGCACGTAGCCGCCCGGCCGCGACGGCTGGCGCCAGGTCGCGTGGGCGAAGGCGAGGCCCGCGAAGCTGTGGTTCGCGGCGCCGTCGACGACGACGAGCGACTCGAGGACGGGCACGACGGCGTCCGTCGGCGCCGCGTACGGCTCCTCGGCGCTCGGCCGGTAGAAGACGAAGCCGCGCATCGCGACGAAGGCGCCCGGCGCCGGCGGCAGCGACGCGACGTTCTCGACGAGGCCCGGCGGCGGCGGCGGCCCGTTCCCGTCGCGCGCGACGATCGCGGCCCAGCACATCGGCTCGACGGTGAGATTCCCGCCGTCGACCGCCGACAGGACGCAGCGCGGCTCGATCCAGTTCCTGACCTGCCGCGGCCAGCGCAGCTCGACGGCGTCGGCGACCCAGGCCGTCGCGTTCGCGGACGTCGCGTAGCCCGCCGCGGTCGCCGCGAGCCCGAGCGAAGCGCCCTCGACGGTCGCCCGCGCCGCGCGGCGGCCCCGGACCCAGAGCTGGCGCGGGATCGTGCCGTTGAGCGCGTGGTAGTGGACGCCCTCCCACGCGTCGAAGGCGTGGCCCGAGGGCGCGCCGCCGCAGGGCGACCCGTCGACGGCGCACGGCGCCCAGCCGGCGTCGTCGAGGGCCGCGCCGCCGGACAGCGTCGCGCCGGCGCCGTCCCAGACGACGCGCCCGCCGCGCGGGTGCGTGTGCGCTTGGGTGAGGATTAAAGGTTCGTGGAGGGCGTGCACGCCGGGGCCGACGCAGACCGTCACGTCGTCGGACGTCGTCGCCGCGGCCAGGAGCCGCACGAGCGCCGCCGCGGCGCGGTGCAGCCCGCCGGGCTCCGAGGAGGCGACGGACAGGGCGCAGGGCATCGTTCTGCTGCTTCTATGGTGGTCAAGGGCAGCGCGGGAGGCGATTCTTCCAGCCCAGCCTCTCTCAGGAGGGGCATCGTCAACCAAATTCTGCATCTTTTACCCTGCCCACGCCACTGGAAAATCGACGATTTTGGGCACCTCGACCGCGGACCCCCTGCTTGTCTCATCGTGATGGACGTTTATCTGGGGCTCCGGAACCGCAGCCGATCATGCTAGGTCATCGATTGGCACAAGTTATGGCCGAAAATATCGGTTTTTGGAGATTTCCGGCGTGCGCGAGCGCCACGTACGCGTGTCCACCCGACGGCGGCGGGTGCCACGCACGTCCACGCTAGCCCAGGGAGTCCACCCGGGCCCCAGGCGGTCGCGCGGGGCGCCGAAGCGAGTATATACGGCCGTATACGACGCGTTTGTACTGGTTTAGTACGGCTAGGGTGTACTGGCGAGGCACCAACGGCAGGAAAACAGGCGCGCAGAGCACCGTTTCGACGGCCGAGCGTCTTCTGGAGTCGAGACAAGATGTCTCGACGCAACGCCAGCGCCAGTTCGCGTTCGTGGGCGCGTCGTCGCTGTAGACCGTGTTGGTGTCGTTTTCGAGGCGCTGGCAGGAGGCGCCCAAGCTGTTGCTGTCGAGTGCCGCGTTCACCTGACGCGCGGGCCAGCGGAGCCCCGGTGATCGGTCGTGAGAGGGTATCGGAACCGCTCTGGACGTCCAGGGGCGTCGCGGCGCCGCACACTGGCTCGTTTTGACCGCCGCCAATCGATGAGAATCGAGGAATCGAGGCCGTAGGGTGGTCCGACGGTGGAGCTGTCCGGGTTTCGCGAGACATGTTCTTCGTAGCAACCCTCTCCGCACTCCCTCCGGAGAAACCCGGACAGCTAGGTCCGGAACACGTCCAACACGCGCCAGCCGTCTCGAGAGAACGCTCCGACGAGGCCGTTGCGTTTTCGACGACGCCCGGACCGTTTCGCGCGCGGCGTCTTCGCAGTGGTCTGGCCACGCACGGTCCCGAGGCACATGCGGGAGCGCGCGGCCCCACTCCCCGGGGGCGCCGCGCACGCGCTGTCGCGGCGGCCGCTCTCCGAGCCGCTCGAGGGCCTCACCCAAAGTCAAGTTTGACCGGGTGGGCAGGGTAAATCTTTTTGGCGAGCTGCGGTGACAGCTGAGCGGCGCCGCGCATTTGCTCGTCGACTGTGTACACTATTGCCGACGCGCAGCGTACCGCATGCACCCGATGCTGCCGCCGCGGCGCCTGCTCGTCGCGCTGCTCCTCGTCGCGGGCACGCGCGCGCGACGGAGCTGCCGCTGGGACGGCGACGACAGCCCCGTGGACACCGCGCACGCGGCGCGCGTGCTCGCGGACTTCGCCGTCGCCAACGACCTGCCGCCGCGGCCCGCGGCGCGCCGCGTCGCCGGCGCGGCCGTCGGCGACGCGGAGCGCGGGCGGCGCTGGTTCGGCGACGTCATGGGCGTCCGCATGCTCGTCTCGACGCTGCCCGCCGCGGCGGCGTCGCGGCTCCCGGCGCTCGCGGACTTCCTGCGCGCGTCCGAGCCGCGGTGGCGCGGCCTCGCCGACGACCCCGAGTGGCCGAAGGCGGAGCGGTCCCAGGTGACGAGCAAGTACCGGCGCTACAACGCGCTCGCCGAGGCCGTAAACTCCGACGACGCGACGGTCGCGCGCGCGGGCCGCGAGCTCAAGAAGGCGCTCGGCGCGCGCCTCGCGGAGCTCATGACGCGCTACGCGGCGGCGGACCCGCCCTGCGACCCGGCGCGGCGCCGCCGGCTCAAGGTCGTCGACGCGGACTTCCTCGGGCCCGGGCCGGCGTCCCGTGGCCGTGACCATTTTCGAGAGATTTCGAGTGGGAAAACACTGAGAAATCGTCACCGTCGTGCTTGGTAGGCCCGGGCAGCCATCGCACGCGCCGGCCGTCGAGGTCCAGTCCTGGCTCAACGCGCACCGCGCGGCGGTGCCCGGCGAGGACTCGCTGAGCGTGCACACGCACCACTTCTCCTGGCACGGCTACCTGCTCCTCGACGCCGCGGGGACGAACACGACGTACCACGCGCCGCCGCCGGAGCCGGGCGCGCCGCGGCCGCTCTTCAACCTCGGCAACAGCGACGGCGTTTTGGTGCTGCTCTGCGGCGGCGTCGAGCACGCCGTGCCGCCGGTGGCGGCCTCGGAGCGGCCGCGGCTCTCCATGGCGTTCGACTTCGCCTTCTCCTTCGACTACGGCGGCCGCGCCGTCGCGCACCCGGGCGCGGAGTTTGGGTGGACGGGCGGCGCGCGCGAGCTCGCGAGCGACGGCGTCCGCAACTCCTGGGCGAACCTCCTCTCCGCGGGCGAGCTCCGGGCCGCGCTCGGGGGCGACGCGCCGGCGGCCTACGACTGGAGGGCGGTCCAGGCCGACGCCGAGCGGGCGGGCGACAGCTTCTGGGCCGGCGTCGTCGACGTCGCGGGTCTGCTGCGCGACGGCGGGGGCGACCTCTAAAGTTTGAGTAGAGGGGTCGTGGGCTCTAGGTGTCGAGGTTCGCGAGTCGCTGTCCGGCCTCACCGACCCCCGGCCAAATCGGCAGCTCGTGCTTCGAGCTCGTGCCTCCGCAAGCGCTCTGACATCTCCTCGGACACCAGCATCACCTCTCCATCGTCATCGAGGACCACCGCGCGCGCGCGCGCTACCACGAGCAGACGCGGGCGAAGGGCCGCGTGGGTCTGGACCCCAAGGGCAAGCGCAAGCACGTCTCCCCGGAGGAGGTCCAGGCCATGAGCGAGTGGGGCAAGAAGTACCGCGCCGACGTCGCGTCCGGCGAGCACGTCCCGCGCAAGTACGACGAGGAGGAGAACGTCGAGTCGATGATCAAGGAGCTGGAATCGAAGCGAGCCCGGAGCGACACGACGCGGGGCCTCCTGGCGAAGCGCATCGAGGCGAGCCACGACATGAGCATCGAGCTGCCGACGGGCATCCGCCGCGCGACGGAGGGCCGCTACGCCATCCATGGCGACATCGCCGTCGAGGCCGGCGCGTCCTTCGACAATACGCCCTCGACGGACCTCGCCGCCGTCGTCGCGCGCCTGAAGCAGGCGCGCGCGCTCTCCGGCGTGAAGGAGCGCGCGCCGCGGACGCTGCCCGCGGGCGTCGCGAAGTGCGAGGACGGCAAGTTCTGGACGAGCTTCAACCATGCGAAGGGCATGGTCTCCCTGCGCGCCTGCGGCCAGATCATCTACTTCGAGACCGCCGAGGCGGCCGCCGCGGCCATCGCGCGGTTCCGCGCAGCGACGAAGAAGGAGCAGCGCGCGATGATCAACAAGCAGCTCAGGTGCTGCAAGTGCGGGCAGCTGTTTCCGGCCGGGAAGAGCTCGCTCAAGCGCCGGCAGGCCGTGGATCGCCTCGAGGACCACGAGGAGACGTGCGCGCGCTAAAAATTACGGCATCGACGGCGCGCGCGACGCCTGCGCGAACGCCGCGGGCCGACGCGCCGCGCCGGTTCGCGGGCGACGCGCTCGCGAAGATCTCGGAGCACGTCCGCGCGGCGCTCGCGGAGGCGTTCCGGGTGCCTGGCGCCGAGTTCGCGCTCCTCCTCGAGGACGGCCTCCGCGTCGCCGGCGACTTCCCCGTCGTCGAGCGCCGCTCCGCTGCCTGACCCGTCCGCCCCCCCGCGCGCGCCCGGCTGTATAAAGACTTCTGCACGAGCCGGTCGCCGGGTCGCCCGCTTTAGTTCGGCGCGCGCCGCCGCCGGCGCCCCTTGGGCCCCTTCGCGCGCCCCCCGGGCTTCCGCCGGCCCTGCGCGACGCCGAGGCCGCAGGTCGGGCTGATCGCGTCGTAGATCTGCTCGTCCGGCCCGGGCTTGCGCTTGCGGCCCGCCGCGTCGCGCCCGTCGTAGACCGACGGGAGGAGCTCGACGTCCGGCGGGTAGCCCAGCGCGGCGAGCGCGGCGCCGACGCCCGGCGCGGCGCGCTGGAGCGCGTTCGCCGCCGCGGACACCGCGTAGCACTGGCTCTTGACGGCGGCGACGGCGGCGACGCGCGGCCCGAGCCCCCGGTCCTTGCGGAGGTGCGCCGACGAGATGAGGTCCGACACGGGCAACTTGTGCGCGTCCTTGGCCGGCAGGCCGCCCGCGTAGTCTAAAAACGCCGCGACCTTGTTGCGCGCGCCCTGCATCTGGACGCGGAGGGACCCGTCCTTCATCCTCTCGCTCTTGAAGTGGCCCCGCGTCAGGTCGCCGAAGGACGCCTTGACGAGCAGGTCGCAGACGGGCTTCGCGTGCCGGTACGACGCCTCGTGGCCGCCGAACGTCGCGCGCCACGTCTCCAGCTTGTCGCCGATGGTCCGCTCGCCGTGCGCGTCGCCGAAGACCCAGCGCAGCAGGTCGTCGGCGTGCGCCGCGCCCGCGTCGCCGCTGTCGGCCGGGCAGCCCCGCTTCTCCGCGCCCGCCGCCGCGCACGCGGCGCCGCCGCTCAGGTCCTCGATGCGCGCGAGCCGGTAGCGGCCCGGCCCGAGCCGGGCCCCCGCCGCGACGACGGCGAGCTGCTCGTCGGCCCAGAATTGCGCGAAGAGCAGGCGCCAGAGGAGGGCGTCGTGGAAGAGGCGCGGGCACGAGAACGGCGCCGCGGCGCCGTCGGCCGCGGCCGCGACGGCCGCGTCGCCCGCGATCGCGCGCCTCGCGGCCGCGGCGTGGTCCTCGAGCGCCGCGGCGCCCCAGTAGAGCCGCCAGGCGTCCAGCGACCCCTCGAGATGCGTCGTGCCCACCGTGCGGACGTCGCGCGCGACGTGGAGGAAGCGGAACTTCGGGAACGCGACGCCCCACGAGTTGAGGTAGAAGAACGCGCGCGGCTCCTTCCAGCCCCAGACCCGGCCCGTCGCCGCGGCCTCGCGCGCGACGGCGCTCATGTTGAGGGAGAAGGCGCAGAGCGCGGCGAGCTCGCGGCGCCGCGACGCGGCGGGGAACGCGGCCCGGTCGAAGAGGAAGCCGCCGCTCCCGACGGCCGGGAGGAGCTTGTCGAGGACGCCGTCGGCCGGCCGGTCGAAGTCGTCCATGCCCGCGTCGCGCATGGCCGCGGCGTCGTTCGTGGCGTCGTTCGTGTCGCGGCCGTTGACGAGCGCGCCCGCGGCGCGGAGCAGCGAGACCACGGACCGCGTGCCCGAGCCGCCCTGGCCCGCGACGACGAGCGGCGGGCCCGCGGCGGCCGCGTCCGCGGGGTTTTCAAAGGCCGCGCAGGCGCCGTCGCGCGGGAAGTGGCCGTTGGGCGGCGCCGGCGCGAAGAGGCGCCGCGCGGCGGCCGCGTCGCCGGCCCGGCGGCCGAGGAGCGCGACCTGGAGCTCGCCGAAGCGGTTTCGCGCGTCCGCGTCGTCGGCGAGGGACGCGGGCGTCGCGTCCATCGCGTCGCCCGCCGCGTCGCGCCAGCGCGGCGCGCCGTGTGCCGAGACGTCGTCGGCGACGTCGAAGTTCTGGAGCCGCGCGTAGCTCGCGAGCGCGCGCTCGAGGTACCTGCGTGGAAATCAAATCTTCAACCCGAGTTCAATGTGCGCGTAATCGAACGGTTCGACGCGAGCATTTCCGCCGTGCTTCGAGCACTCGACGAGAGCCATCGATTCGTCCAAAAATCAGCCGAATCGACTTCGATTTGACCGAGCGAGAGAGTTCTGAAGTTTGGTTGGGATACCCCAGCTCGCTGTTTGATTTCCACACCGCGAGGTACTCGAGGCCCCTGGCCGCGGTGCCGACGGCGAGCGCGGCGCGGCGCCCGCGCGCGCCCATGGCCGCGGCGTCCGCCGGGTTTCGCCGGAGGCCGTCGACGGCCGCCGCGACGTCGCCGCAGAAGCGCTTCTCCGCGGCGGCGCGGGTTCGCTCGTCCGCGCGGACGTCGTCGGCCGCGGCGCCGACGGCGACGTAGTCGACGCCCTCCGTCAGGTTCCCGCCGGCGACCATGGGCCAGGCCGCCGTGATCAAATCCTCGAAGCGCGACGCCCGGTCCATGAGCACGGGCGCGCCGCAGGCGAGGTAGTACTTGAGGCCGTTCGACGTCGAGATGCCGTCGAGGTAGAGGAGCGCCTCTTTCGCGCAGATGGCCCCGTGGTCGCCGAAGCCGTAGTTCAACAGCTTGAACGACGCGGGCCCCGCCCCGGCGGCCGCCGCGGCCTCGATGGCCCGTCGCGCCTCCGTCGCGTCGACGCCCGCGCCCCGCGCGCGCGTCGCGTCGCCGGCGGCGCCGCCGCGGTCGACGACGTCGACGCCGCCGGGCTCGACGACGTCGAGGCGGTCGTCGCCGGCGTCGCAGGCCGTCGTCACGGTCCAGCGGCGCCAGTTGCCGACGCCGCCGCTGAACTGGACGCGCGCGTCGTAGGGCTCCGCGAGCGCGTGCGGGTTCGCCGCGGAGGGGTCGTGGTTCAGATTCGTGAGCCGGAAGCGCCGCGCGACCATGGCCTCCGCGGAGTAGCCGCGGAAGCCCCGCACGGTGCCGCGCCAGAACGCGCCGGACCGCTCGCGCGCCGCCGCCGGCGCGACGTCGTCGACGTCGCCGCCCTCGAGGCGGAACGTGTCGAAGGACGGCAGCAGCCACTGCCGGTCCGCCGGCGCGGAGCGTTTGAACCGCGCCTGCGCGAAGAGCGGCGGCAGCGTCGCGCTCGCGGGGCCGGGCACGTCCATGGGCATGACCACGAGGTCGACGTCCGGGAGCGACGGGTAGCGCCGGAGCAGCTCGTGGAAGACCGCGAGGAACCTGTGCCGAATTCCACCGCTGGTTTGGGCGGTCCTGACCAAACTTCAGAATTCTCTAGCTCGGTCAAATCGACGTCGATTCGGCTGACTTTTGGACAAGTCGATTGCTCTCATCGAGTTCTCGAAGCACGGTGAAAATTCTTGTGTCAAAACATTCGAATACGCTCACATTGAAGTCGAGTTGAAGGTTTGGAATCCACACAGCGAGGAACGTCGGGCATCGGAAGACGTGCGCCGTGCCCATGAGCTCGCCTGCGCGCGAATCACATCGTCCACCCGACGTCGATGGGCGCGTCATCGGACCCGACGCTTCGGCCGTGGTTCGAGCGCTCGACGAGAGCCATCGAGTCGTCCAAACATCAGCCGCGTCGATGGGACCGAGCGCGAGCGTTCCGAAGTTCGGCCCCGACGTCCCGGCTCGCCGGTCGATGTCCACACGGCAGCTCGCGGTCCTCGGCGTAGGCCGCGTAGAGTCGTCCGCGGTACGTCGTCACGCGCAGGCCCCGGCGGAGCGGGTCCCACGGGCGGTGGAACGCCGCGTCGACGCCCGCGCGCTCGAAGCCGCCGGCCCAGGGCGCCGCGTCGCGCTCGAGGAACGCCCACGTCGCCGGGAGCCGGCCCCAGAAGCCGTCGGCCGCGCGCGCCGCGCGCTTCGCGGCGGTCTTGGCGCCGTCGACGGCGACGTAGGCCGCCGCGGCGTCGCGCCGCGCCGCGGCCTCCGCCGCCGCGGCGGCCGCCGCCGCCGCGCGCGCGTCCGCGGCCGCGACGCACGTCGCCGAACCGCCGTGCGCTCGCAGCGTCGCCGCGAAGCGGTGCGCCGCGGCCGCGTAGACCGCGAGGTCCGCCCAGTCGCGCGGGTCCCGCGCCGGGCCCGCGGGCGCCTTGGGCCCGCGGCGCACGTCGGCGACCTCGGCCTTGGAAGGCGCGGGCAGCCGCAACGCGCGGTGGAAGAGGCACACGGACGTCGCCCAGTCCTCGAACAGGCCGACGAAGCGCATGGTCCGGAGCCGCTGGGTCGCCAGGGCGACGTCGCCCGGGACCACGGCGGCCGCGGCGACGCAGGGCTTCCCGAGGAGCATGCGCGCCTGCGCGGGAAAAGGGTGCGAAATTCCCAACTTCACAGGCTCCTCTCTCGGCCGTTTTCCACTCGTTTCGGCCGATTCTTGGACGAGCGATCATCTCTCGGAACGGTCTCGAAGCGCGGATGCGTTTCCCGGAACGCGCGCGCGCGGAACACTCACGTTGAAGCGAACTTGAAAATCCTGCCCTGACGCGCGCCGCGCAGCCCACGAGCTCGGGCCGCGCGCCGAGGCCCGCCGCCGTGAGGTTCGCCGCGCGCGCGAAGATCGCGTTCCGCTCGCGCCGCTTCGCGCCCCGGAGGCTCCCGGCCGTCGCCGCCTGGTGCGCCAGCGACGCGAGGCGCGCGCCGGGCTCGCGGAAGAGGCCCGCGTACGCGCGATGCGGCTCGAGGGGCGCGTGGCCGTCGACCGCGGCCGCGACGGCGTCGCGGCACCTTCGGCTCCGCTTCGCGAGCGCCTCGAGCAGGCACTCGGCCTGGGCCCGGCCCTCGCAGGACCGCATGGCCGACGGGACGCCCTCGAGCTTCACGCCGTCGCACGCGCGGAACGCGCGCGCGACCGAGAGCGCGAAGGACGCGCCGACCTTCGGCACGTGCAGCCATCTCAAATCGCTCGTCGCCGCGGGCGCCGCCTTCGGCCAGGGCGTCGCGCCCAAGCCACACGGGCATGCGAGCGGCGCGTCGTCGGCGCCGGCGAGGGCCGTCGCGAGGAGGAGGAGGAGCGCTCGGCGCATCGCGTCGAGGCCTGGGAGCGGCGGCGCAGGGCGACGACCGGTCGGCCGCGTGCGTCGCGAATTGCCCGGCCCGCGCACAGGCGACGACCACCGGTGCGTCGAGGGACCCGTCGCCTAAAAAAAACTCCACAAAATCCACAAGTGCTAGTAGTACGCCCTACTACTAGGCCTGAGTCGGGAGCGCTCGAGCCATGAAAGGCGGCCTGAAGCGGACGACGGGCAGTTTACTTGTGAGGGAGGAGGAATGCCTGGCCGGGAGGGGATGTGGCCTACTTCGCTTCGGCTACCTAGGACGCGGTGACGACGGGCGGTCCGGAGTCGCCCTTGTAGTCCACCGTGCGGACGAGCTTGCCGCCGGCGTAATGGAGATGCTGCATGCGACATCCCGGCGCTGACTGTACTGCATTTGACGTGAAGGTGATGTCTAGGTCCGGACGCGCCTTGGAAAGCGCGCGCAAAGCCTTGCCGCCGAGGTAGGAGTAAGGTCCTCGTCCGCCGGGGGTCGTGGGATCGAACATGTCGCCCGACTCGTAGCGCAGGACCTTGAGCGACGAATTGGTCGCGAGCGCTTCGGCGAGCGAGGTCGTCCCATCCGAGTCGATGCCGTTATCGTTCAGGCGCAGCTCGCGGAGCGCGTCGTTGCCGCCGGGACGGAGCGCCTTGCCGAACGCCTTCGCGGCGATGATGCCGATCTGGTTCCGGGACAGGATGAGCGTCTTCACGGTCCGGTTCGTCTCGAGCGCCGCCGCGAGCTTTTCCGCGCCGTAATCGCTGATTTCGTTGTTCGAGAGATCCAAGACTTCGATGGACGTGTTCGCAGCCAGGCCCGCGGCGAACTTCTTCAGGCCCATGCCCGCCGGGGGGCCGGAGATACCGCCGCCCACGAGGGTCCCGGCGAGGACGAGCTTCTTCGCCTTGCACGTCGGCCGACCGATGGCCTCGCCGAGCGCGTTCGCTCCCTTGACGCCGAGCGGCTTGTTGCCCCAGGCTTTTCGCTCCAAGCTCAGATCGCACTCCTCATTGGACACGCACACGACCGCGGCGTCGACAGAGCCGCGGCGGACGAGCTCGCGAAGCTCATCGTGGGTCTCGGACCCCGTGAGCTCGACGCCGGGTAGGCCCGGTGACGATTCCTCGTCGGACGTAGGATAAGAACTTCATCACGAGGCGAACGACGAGTCAACCAAATTCCTATGGCGCTGCAACGTTAGGCCGTCTCTGGCTGGCTCCAGGGCGCCTGGGAGCCCCATTCCGTGCCTCCGCGGGCCATAGCGCTGCCCACCGGCCGCTGCAGGTGGTCGACGACGTACCCGAAGGTCCCACGGGGTCGGGCGACCCTCTCCGGCGTCCTCCGTGCAATGCAGGGGCGGGGCTGCCGCGATCCCGAGTCGCTTCGCGGAGGCGGGATCGTCGAGCGGGTATGCTCTACGCTGCGAGGCCGGGAAGGTCGGGAGCCGGTCCGTGGGCACGTGGGAACATCTGGGGCGACGGATCGCTGCTGTGGCGATCATGAGTTCTGCCACGCGGCTGCCGCAGTGCGCTCCTCGGGGTGCTATTTCAACGCGCGTCCGCGTGAGCGCTTCTCGACGGAGCGCGGCGGAGATCTACGGCGCAGAGCCCAGCCAATACTCTATGAAACGGTTCCCGACACTGACTCATGTCCACACGCGCGCGCGCGCGCCGCCGCCGCCGCCGCCGCCGCCGTCGTCGCCGCAGCAGCAGCAGCAGCTGATGATGATGACGACGGCAACGACGACGTCCTAGAGCGCTTCAGACTGCCCGAGACATACCTAGAACCGATCCCAGACGTTGTGGGCGCTCAAAACGGCACATTTCTGGTGCTGAGCGCGTGTTCGTCCGCAATCCCCGCGTTGAGCGCGGTGCCGGCGGAGCTAGTGTGCGTCATAACACCTCTGCGCGGACGTCCCAGGGGCGTCGCGGGGGCGCCTCCCGCCCGTACCGGCCGCTCGACAAGCAGCGACCTTGGGCCGTACCCCAAAACACGCGTTGAGCGGCGTGTCCGCCACGCGGCCCGCCGCAGACTCGCGGGCTCGTCGCCGACGTCAGCCGCCTGCGACGCGTTCTACGTGCCACCGCCGGCCACGAAGTCGTCCCGCACCCGGAATGGACCGTATCCGATGCCGTCGGCCGCCGGGAGGCACGTAGCGACGATTTAGCGGTCATTTGGGGATGGGTCGCGAGACACACACGCGTCGACGACGCGGCCCCTGTAGGGCGTCTCCTACGTGCCGGCGCCGGCCACCGCGTTCATGCGCGTCGAATATCAACGGAACCCGTCGCCCTAGGCCGCGTGGGACCGCGTGCTGACGCTCAAAGGGGTCGTCGCGGACGACTCCCCCGAGGCGTGTCTGCGTCGCCAACGAGGACCATCTACGGCGTGTTCAAGTTCCAGGTGCCGACGCTGCTCCCGGCGGTCATGCGCGGCTGGCGCGAAAGGTACCCGACGCAGCAGGCCGCGGGGAACCCCGTGGCGACGGTCTACGGGTGCCAACACTAGTAAAATGTCCACGGAGACCCATGAGTAGGGCCATGACCGACGCCTTCTGCGTGACCCTGGTGGTCCTGGCGGCCCAAGACGCCGAATGTCGTTCAACGTCGATGCCATCGCCCGCGGGGAACCGCCCCTCGAAGATCTACAATGGCCGTCGCAGACGAATCCGCCACCGCGCAGCAGCCTCGCGAGACGTCGACCGCCCGGTCGGCGACGAGGACACGTTCTACACTCGTTCTCGCGCGGGCGGACAGTGCCGTCTGATCGCCGTCGCCGCCTCGATGTTGCCCCTCTGTCACAGCATGGGCCCTCGTTTGCAGGCCCTCTTGAGGCCGCTGTGAGCTCGCCAGCGGCACCGCCAGCGGCTCCGCTACAGCGCGCAGCGGCCGCAGACGTATCATGTCGCGCCGGCCGCCGCGCTCCGAGGCCGGCCGCCTCATCTACAGCCACCGCCAGCACTTCGGCGGCGGCGGCGGTCAGACGGCGCTGTCCGCCCGCGCGAGAACGAGTGTAGAACGTGTCCTCGTCGCCGACCGGGCGGTCGACGTCTCGCGAGGCTGCTGCGCGGTGGCGGATTCGTCTGCGACGGCCATTGTAGATCTTCGAGGGGCGGTTCCCCGCGGGCGATGGCATCGACGTTGAACGACATTCGGCGTCTTGGGCCGC